GACTTTGTCAAATCCAATTAAACAATATACAAAATTATATAAAAGACAAAGCACTAAATTATAAATATATTATCTGTAATAAATAGTAAAATTTAATAAAAAAGCGTTATTATGTATTATATATGTTTTTATGAGCGAATCGTAAGATGATTTTCATAGTTTCATAAAAATAAATATGCTGACAGCACGTACAGCATGCTCTTTTGATTTAATAAATTTCTTTTTTTTTCCATTACGTTGAATTTCTCGATTTAGGTCAAGGGAAGAAGCCAACTGACCGCAACTCAAATCAACGCAGAACGCAAGCTGTTTGCTATTTCCCCACGGAATCGCATAGGGAGTCGCAGAAAGCCAGTGAAACTGTCACGTCCCGTGCACCGAAGCGGGTATAGGTGTTCGTTGATTGAGAGTAATCTGTTTTGTTAATTGCAAGGTCCGCAGAGCCCGATACCTGCGGTTGCGTTGTGCTGCGTTCAGCATTACAAACTCCCTACTAGCAGTAGTCGCTTCCACCTCCATTCGGGTGGTAGACCATCCGTCCACCTACCGTTCCTCACATCCTGGCTCACAATATCGCCAAACCACAGTGTGAGCCTGTCGTGGAGAACGGCGAGGAGACGGGGGTCGGTTAACCGACTAATTGCAATACTGACGCGCTCGCTCGCAGTATTTGTGAAATTGCGATCATATCCGCCGTCCTTGCGACGCCTATCATCGTGTATAATAGGCGCTATCCGCATACGCCGTAACCACACTCGCATCCGAACGCACGTTAATGGACCATCAAAAGCGAAATTCAGCGTTTTTTCCGGGCTGGGTCGCGTCATTTTTCAGAGAGCATGTCCGCACCGCTCGGTTCTCAACAAGACCCGACGAGAAAAATGTAGCGCAATTGTTATTGCTGCAGCAACCGACGATCGACGCGTAAATGCAGGAAGTCGAAAAAGGAAACTGGTTTGGTCGCCGGCTGATGAATACAATGCAATCACTCTTTTTTATTCCCGACAGTTAGCAAAAATTCTATTTCGTACGAAAAGTGAATATTTCATTTGCAAGGGTGCTTCGAAGTCCTATCCGTTCCATGCAATGTGGAAGCGAGACAATTAGCGAGCCATAAGTTCTCTCTCGAGCAAAGGAAACGCGCATGATATAAGAAATTTAAATATAGTGTAGAGCGTATCATAAAGAACTTTAAGTGATAACGCAAATTTACATCATTACAAGTTTCTTCATCCAGTATTTTATAAGTCAATCAAATTGTGCTTATGATTCGTTTATGACTTTGCTCGGAGTTAGACGTTTTAGACTTAAGATCATTCTCTTTCCCTAGTTACAAGTAATACGAGAATAATCATCTCTGTTAACGACGAAACTTCTCGTAGCTTCCCTTAAACTCAGAATGAGCTCTGACATTCTTAGTATAAATAGTTACATTTATACGATTATCACAATTTTAAACAATCGTTTTTGTTTTAACTGGAATTTGTCTTAACTGGAAAATTCTAAGCTCAAGCTAATTTTATCTCTTTATTTTCTCGTATTTTTTACTCATTTTTTTATTATTCAAAATTAAGAAATGAGATCTCTTCATTTTAAATAAAATATTTTAAGTTCCATTATATGCATCAACAAAAAAACAAAAGAAAATGAAACAGTAACACTTCAAGTTTCAAGATTGCTCTCCCGTCGAGTACAAAAGTATTTTTGAGAAACTAAATATACTCACCAGTCGTGTACATAGCAACACCCTTCAGGGTTACCGGCTCAAGTATGGCAGGTTCACTTCTCCCCTTTGCATTAATCGCGTATAGGAAAAGTCGATAGCTTTTTCCTGTTGTTAGTCCTGCGACTTCGAAAGTCGGTCCATTGGGGCCTGCCGGCACGGTTTTATTTAAGAGAATCGGACCTCCGTCCTCATCAGATACGACTTCCAGCTGATAACTATGTATCGGAAGACCTCCATCGTAGCCCTCCAGACATCGAACTACCAGCCCTGTTCCCGATTTTGTACCAAGTTCCTCCATATCCAGAGGCGCTGACATTTCCGTAGCACTGCAATTGTGAAGAGCGTATGGTCGGCCCGCGGCTATAACCTGAAACAAGCAGACAGGAGATAAAGTGTATTTGCATTAGTCGACCAATACGCCCTTTATTGCATTACATATGACGCGGAATTCAATTTCTCGTTCCATAAGAAAAAGATTAGACCAAGCAATACGTTCTTAATACAACATAATATTATGCATACAACTGCATAATTTAGCAATATCGTTTAACGATTATGTTTACATCGTGCATTCTTTTATATCGCAGCTTTCACAATAGGGAAGGAGCGATCGATCTTTCCAGTAGCGACTTTACACACGAAGACTCCTATGCATGTCAAATACGAGCACAGTTTGTATCGTCAAAGAAAGCAACTCCCGCATTCTTTGTAGATGCCGTCGATCGATCAAAATGAAAATGTATGGAGCATAGTGATGCCGGAGTATACAATGCATGAAATTTATGAAGGAAATAGCTAGCAACATGACGCACGTCGTGTAAATACTAGAATATTTGAGACATGCAGTACATAGGGATGATTTAACCATTTTTAGATCAAATATATCGATACAACTGAGAATTATGACCGGTGTAATGATTGGGAGCCACATGTTTCAATTCTATCAATCAAAAGATTCTTTGATTGATATCAGATGAAGATGAAGTCCTATATTATGATTAATGATAAAATACTATTTCAAAGTTTCTAATAAAATTTCTTTTTAGTGTTCTAAACATGAGCTATATAATGTAGCATAAATAATGACTGGAAATAAAAAGATTATGCAAAAAATGTTTATCGAGAATATTTGATAGAAACTTTGATATCAAGAGTAATTCATTATATATTAACATTACATTAACAAAGAAATTAACTTGTCGTGTAGAAGAAAATTTAAATTTTATTTACGATATTCTATAAATCGAGATTCTATAAATCAAAATAAAACTTACATAAAGTTAGGAAAAGCTTTATATATGTTTACGTCTGATGGAAATATTCTATACATAAAATATAATAGTATCCACTATGACACAAATGTGATTTCCTTTTTTGATGAAAATTTGATATGCTCGCACGTTAAGCTAAAAGGTCGAAATACTGAATCATACGTTGAAAACCGCGTAAGTCGCTGGAAACGTAAAGAAGCGAAAAGGTACAGGTGGAAAAGTACTTGCCTGAAAAAGGCAAGGTGTTCGTTGCTTGCCAACCTGGTTGCTCGCCCAGCATGCCACTGTACCGTAATCCATTTCCGTAGTTGGTGTATAGTTCAGTCTAAATCCACGAAACTGCTGGTACTCTTTCTGCCCGTCTGGTGTGCCGGACGCCGATACGTGAGAGTAACGTGAATGTGGAACCTCGACGAGTTCGCCGGAATTATTAAATGTCCAATGGAAAGTCAATGGCGCCGGATGGCTCTCCACGGAACACACTAACGATACCGTCTCTTGTTTCAAAGCGCCAACTACCACCTCACTTTTGCCTTCCTTGCACACCGGCGCATCTGCAAACAAAGTCGTCGTACTTTGCCAACGGTGGCCTTTCTATGAACAACGATGGAGTAGCGCAAAGTTTGAAGTACAGGGTGATTTATGACCCGCTTGTCAAGATTAATGTATAACAAAGTGTATGCAAGTCGACGTTCTTCTGCCTCGAGAAATTTCATTGTCCGATGATAAGCATAAAAAGGTATTCTGATTAATTTATGTTTTCCTGGGTTACGCCATATAATCGTAAATCAATCAACATTTCCATTTTTGTCATAGAATAATTCTAACGACGATTTAAATGGATATTCGACATTATGTTTCGTTGCACGTTGGTTATATTGATACTCGCTCGATAACTCGGCGAGATCCGCGAGTACGTGTCAAACGGAAGAAGAAGCAGCTCGGTACCGTTCAGCTGGTTGCACGGTCGATCGATAGTCTAATAGGAAATTCCCTTGACACCAGTATTTGCGATAGGCCATGACATGCGGAAGTCCCACACGGCGGGAGTGATGATTTACGAGCGAAGACTAGGAATCACGGATAGAGAGAGACTGTCTGGTTGTAATTTGATACAGTCTATGCGATACTAAATTAATTGCCAAGATGAGAAGTTTGAGAGATGCGGCGTTATGGTATGTATATATCGACATATCACCGGAGCGGTATGTCTGTTTACTAAGGGATGATATCTTACGTAGACGCCTTGGAATAACGTCCGCTCTTGAAGTTTGCGGATAAGAGATAGTAATAGAGAAATCAGGTCGATCTCTTCGCTTAATGCGACGTATTCTGAAGTGAAAATCACTTTGTGAAATGCCACAAGGTGCTTTCTGAGACACATCTCTCTCGGTATATCTTATGATTTTTTTATAAATCAAGAATGTGATCGAATTGTTAATGTTTTCTAAACATTTTTCAATATAGGCCCCTCCCCCTCCATCTTATTTATTTCACTTTCCATTCGTCAAAATAATATTTTTATTTCTATTTCTTAAATATTTATTATTTCATTGTTTCATAAATCGAACGATTTGGAAAAATGTAACAGTTTTATATTTATCGCAGATATATATTTAAGGAGAGAAAGTGCAATTTAAATAACTTCTCTAGAATAACTAGACAAATTATTAGGTCAATGTTTGTCTCACTTGTAAAATATTCAACAACTATGTCTTTCTCTCTTTTCTCTATTCCAGCGAAAACGGATTAAATGTTACATAATAAATGTTTAAGAAATCGTAGAAGTCACCGAATTACAGTTTATTAATTATTCAGTTAACAATTAATTCTCTCTTATTTATTATGAAGATAAGAATTGAAATTAGAAATTAAATAAGAATCGAGAAATTATAACCGTAAAAAATTGTGTCAATGCAAATGAAATCTATTAAATTTAACAAACATAGAAATTCTTATAATTATAGAAATTTATATGTCTGACAGAATGTTACTATTAGAGAACATGTAAATTTTAATTTTTAATTCTGATTAAATTCAAAGTTATCAAGATTTAAATATACATTCAATACATATGTATAATAATAGATGTGTTAACAAACTTCTAAATTTGTGAATCAAATGTGTGTTGACCGGGAAGCTTTCCGTACTTATACGATTTGCATTGCAAACACTTGAAGTTATTTAGACGAGAATCTATAGATCTTATTATGTTATACACTCGTACAGAATATGTATTGCAAGAACAGTTTTTACTTTTTCTTAAAAATTTTATCGTTTAAATTATATATATGTCATTTTAAAATATATTTTTTAAAATCAATATCAAAACAAAACCAGTAATAAATTTTTGTATCTTATTGCAATAATAAAAAATTATTAATATAAATCTATTATGATGACTACGTCATCAGAATTTGTATAATGTGATGTTATAAATCACATTATAGAAGATAATGAGAAATATCTAAAGAGCGATTCGAATAAAATGAACGTAAAGGGAAAATCTTTTGCATGGCATGTATGTGACTCGTACTGCGTACATGTGCAATATTATATTGTGATGTGATCACGTTCGAAGTCCCATGTGAATGTAAAAGATCGACATCGTCAGCTTCGCAAGGAAGTTTGGAACATCAGGACGAATCCGCGATCTCCTTCAGTTACGTACGCCCTACTGTACGTCTGCTCCGGCCTAGCTTAGCACATTGCCAGCCTGCGTTCACCCACACATGAATATTCAGCTGCGCTTTACATACACTGAATATGCATCGCAGTCCTTCCTTCCCTCTTAGGTCATTTACAAGATGCAGATACGCCAGGCTGGCATCAGGGGCACCGACCATTCTAATAGAATAACCCGCGTTCCGTGTTTCACAGAAAACTATACACCCTATCTACTATTCCCCCTTCATCCTCTACTCTTCCGTCTCTCTGACTTAACAGTCGAGTTCGTTTCTCATGCGTTCGACAAACACTCTGCTGTACTTGCCCCTGTGCACCGCGGAGTTGCTTACCATCGATTAAGTAATTATCGAGGGATTGCAATTGCGAGCGGGAAATTAGGGAACCGACGTGTTATGAAGAACGTACGCTCCAATACTATAGCATTGTTTACTCGAGTAAATTTTCAATCGAAATAATTTGGCTATTAATCGTACAAAAACTTGTAATTGTATCTTCCACTTACACATTATCTGGAGAGATACCGGATTACTGGCCGTCTTTCCCTCGCTGTTGGCTGCAAGACAAGTGTAAGCGCCGGCAGAGTAACGAGTCAATCCTTGGAGTACCAAAGAGTGATCGCTAAGAACTACACCTGCTGTAGAATTATTCTTCAATTCTTTGCCCTGAAACCACGTACAAATTGCAACAGAATTTGAATTTAATAGAAGTCTGTGTTCCTTAATTACAATTATAATGTAATTTGAATGCTCACACACTAGCAGATGGAAACTGTATTGTAATAAAGAAGGCATGAAATGTATACATGCAAGTTATCTAATGGAGAACGAATTATATTTGCATAAAGCAGCGAGAGAATGAATGGTGCGGTTGTACAACAAAACGCAAATACATCGTGAAATGTTTTCTCGCGGATATCGTGATAGACACGCGAGTGTTCACGATACTTACATCTTTGAACCAGGCGAGCTTGTACACCTTCGGGTTTGCTCGCACTATACACTCGAAGTACACGTCGTCGCCCTCTTTGATGTCATCTGGATTCAGCGTTTCGCCCATTCTTAAGCTGACCACCGGTTGGTATTGTACGTCAAGCCGCCACTTGTCCTCCAACGCGCTGTCTGGTATAGCAGGATTTTCCGCGCGGCATGTCAAATATTTACCATCGTCCTCTATAGTTGGTATGAAACTGAGGATGCTCAAACTCTGATTGTTCTGAATCGGATACTGTAATTAAATATGCACATTGATTTTGAAATTGGATGCTCCAACATAGCTGTGTCACGCGAAACCGAAAAACGAATTTGATTTTGGTATCGATCTTTTCGATATTGCATAACGAATAACGTAGTTGATTTAGGAATCAAATATTTCCAAATTGAATGCTTGAAACAGTTCAATATGCCGATCTAGAAAAAAAGCACAGTTCACATAGAATTTTTTCCAAGAAATAATAGATTTCGAAAAAAAATTTTAATTCGTATGAATTTGAAAAATTTGCTATGTTCATAACATACCACTTTGTTAAATTAATTGAAATATGTACAACTTGATATTCAAATTAAAAAGTGGATCCGACCTATTAATCGGATAAACTAATCAGCCTATTAACAAACTCTGCTATCTTAACACGATTCGCACATTTCTCATTTCCCGCGTCGAAAACGCAATTCATTTTTCATGCGGCGTCACGCGTTTGCTGCTAATATTAATTTAACATCGTTGGAAGCTGTTAGGCCAAAGTGATGCCGAAATAAAAGAGCACCGGGAATTAACGGTTTTTCAAGATTTATGATGCTTAGAGCAACGACGGGAAATGGAGGTCGAAGCGGGTGCGGGTCACATCGCTGACGCTTCCTCTCTCCATCACGGCCCCTGTCCCTCCCGCTTTCACGATGTCATTTTAATGATAGCGCCATCGGGCATATATATCGGAAAAGCCACGTATCCGCATCAGTATAGCGAATACGATGAATGGAAGTAATGGTTCGTCAGGATGAATGTGGTACGTTGCTGTCTCTCACTCTCTTATACACTTCTACCGATCGTGATGACTCGTCTCCTTCTCTCCCTCGTTCGCTCTCTGTCTCGCTTTTCCTATCTCCTGTACGCTTTTTTTTTATAAGCTTCGCTGCGTTGTACTTTCAGTGCGCCTCAGTGCGACGCGATCGAATTTTCCGATAAAACCCTCTGGACAGTCCAACACGCGGGCGTCGATATATTGCACAGGTAGATCGTACGCGAACTGACATTACGGTCACAACGTTTCGCATACCGAATGTTACTGGCGTAGTTTTTTCAAGCTTTGATTTCTAAGAGGATGTGAATCTTCATGGATATATGGAAAAACGCTTAACTGAATCCATCACTGAGAAAAAGGATTTTGTTAATTTAATAAACCACCAGTACCATTAACAAATCTGCTATACCAATTAATTATTAGTAACAGAAGCAAACTTATATATAATAGAATCTAATCTTATCTTTTGAATAGATTTTATTTGATAGCGATACTGATTATTTTGATTATTTGTTACATTGACGAATAATGAGAAATGATTTGCAATGTCACTTGATTTGTTCTTATAAAGTCATGTCTCTCAGTGATCTTATTAACTCGGAAGTAGTCACTTGATTTTCTTCACGTAAACAATCACTTAGACTGTTTTTCAATCCCAATTAAAATCATCATTATTAGAAACATATTGTATATTATTGATTGTTTTCATACTTTTTTAGTATTTGAGAACATTATGGAATAATAACAATTTTCTAAAAAAAGATAAATAGAAACCAAACAAATATTAAGTTAAATAAATATATTAAATAGCTTATGATTATTATTATTATAAAAAAAAGATTTTAATTTATATTTTTAATTAATATATCTTTTTTTAATTGGATTTTTAAATTAAAATTATATATTTAAAGCTTTGTAAAGAATAGTTATTAAAAAAGAAAAATATATATAATATCTATACAAAACAATATTTTATAACAATTCATATTTTTTGTCGCCGAATTGTACTATAAAAATCCAGATGATTATTTCTGAGTTAAATCTCATATAACATCTTGATCTTTTTCATGCTTTTAAAAAATAATTAATTTAAGATTCTAAGATAACACCAAAGCGCATTAAATATATAGAATTTGCAAAAGATAAATACGGCTAATTTTTCTATAGATTATTAGACCAAAAAATGCATTTTTCTCTTACTTTCTTGTATCACAGTAGGAGAATGAAAGAGATATTCTTTCATAAAAAAATTTGTTCAGTATTTTAATTTGTAACGTAATAAACAAACGTATTTCCCTACGTAATAGTATGAAAAAATTCGTAACAACTTTTTGTGAAATATCGCGATATATTATATATATGCAGTAATGGTCGTCACGAGTGCTTCAAACATTTTCGCTCGTAAATGATCATGAAATAATAGCGCAGTAAAAATATATGATACAAGCATAAAACAGTAATGTCGTCCTGTTATCATAGTCACCATAAAATTCTGATACATGAAAATACATTTCATTAACAAAGCTTAATATACTTTTACATATTTCAGTGATCTATATAATATAATAAAAATAATACAAATTTCAAATTATTTTAATGCTTATTCTGTAAGTTATGTAGATATTAAATAAAATAAAATATCTTTTTTCATAAAATTATTAAAAATCCTAATGCAAATTTTACTATTTTACTATGAAAATTAATATTATTAGGCTCAATTATATTATATGTTGTTTTATTCATAACAATATAGGTAAATAGTAAAATTATCATTTATTGCTTCATTACTGTTAATCAACCATAGTTATAATATCGATCGGTTGAATGTCACTTTAATACCTATGCATAATTATCTTGAATATTTAACATCATGAATATGCGCTATAGATACATATTATTTAATGATTACAAAGATACCGATGAATGTTTCATATTTGCTATTTCAATTGTTAAACTTCAATAACCAAACTACAATGTTACACTAATTAAGAAGAGATGACAAAAACAATACAATACATGGTTATTTACTAAATCGATTATAATATAGATTATAATATCGATCGATGTACGTATATATTTTTATGTGAAAAACAAGTTCGTGAAACATACGACATGAATTTGCAAGAATAGTTTCCTGAAATAAAGAGAATAGTTATATTTGGGAAAACGTTTTAAAAATTTAATTTTTTCAAGTATTACTGAAACATTTCGTGCTACAGGCGGTGAACGGAGGCATCTACTAGTCGAAAATAGAAAAAGAAAGTTAAGTCTCGAAAGTTTATGAAGCGAAGATCCACTAGATCGTTCGTGAACTTCTGTACACTCTCTATCACTGCGGAAGGAGTGCCGGGGTACGTTGGGGATAGAGGCGACAAGATGAACGGATGAATAAGGGGGAGGGAAAGGGTCGAGAAGTCGCCCTCAAGAAAAACGAAATAACTGCATCGTCCTAACTTCTGGACGAATCGTCGTAAACTGCGGCAAGTTACGGGACGTCGATTTCAAGAATTTTTCCTCGAATTGTGCGGCGCACTTCAGCAATGCTTTCCGTTAACCGTTTTTTCAAGATTCGACGACATGAATGTTCGCATGGCAATGCGAGGAGAGGTAATATAAAAACACTCGGCGCAATTTTTCTAAAATTAGAGTACTCGGAAGAAGAATCGATCAATCACACTTTTCCGCAAAACGCGTGAGCAATTTTGTCGACTTCTTCTCAAATTTCGATTCTGAAAATTGCCTTTAAAATTATATAAATATATTTAAATACTTAGTATATAATTATCGTCGTAATGTTAATCCAATTAAAATATCATTTAGAAAATTTAGTATGTGTAATGAAAAAGATAATTTTATCTCTAATAAAGTAGCCTTACTTAAAATAAGAAAAATAATCGTTCCACATCAAATTATCATTTAAAATATCCTTTTCAAAATAAAGTGAGAAAAAGATTTACATTAAATCCAATACTTGAATTTAATCGTTCTTAATTTTACTCGCATCTTTTTAAAAGTACTATAAATTTATTTTCGTCGTTAAAAAGTTACAGATTAACTGTCACATTTAACACCTTCAGATAAAAAGGCCGTGAAAGGAATTTTTATCAAGTAGCCTTACAAAAACAAAAAAAAATTATTGTTTCACATCAATTTATCGTTTAAAATATCCTACAAAATAGAAAAGGGATTTGTATTTTAAGTATTTGTATTTAGTCGATCTCAATTTTACTCGCATCATTTTGTAACAAAAGTATTAAGATAAATTTGCTTTCGTCGTAAAAAAAATTACAGACTGAATGTCACCATTTAACACCTTCAAATAAAGAGTCCGAGATCTCTTTATCAAGTAGTCAAGAATATTTGTTCTCTCTCTTTTGTATTTAAACGATGTAACCTCCTTTAGACTGATGTCTACTTTCATTTCGCTGTACAGCATATTTCTTTCATCACATGCAATTACATGCAATACATAAACTTACATTGTTAATCTCCTTATTAATGATTGGCTTGTTTGCTTTCCACCAAGTAATCACCGCATTTGGTCGTGAACCGCTCGATCGACATTCCACATCGTAATTTTTATCGGCTGATACTCTCGTTTCCTTCGTCAGGATTTGAACAACCAATGGTTTTACTGGAACAATGAAAAATGTGTTTTGTTTTCGTGTAAGTAGACATAAAGCGCTTTATTTTTCGGGGTCTTTTTTTATTATAAAAAAAGAGATATTCTAATTTAATAAATAAAAAAAGCCTATTTTTCGACCATCAAAAAATGTAATTTTCATGCAACGTAGTTGTGTACATTTACTATTCACAGAGGTTATTTAAAAAAGCAGATAATGCTTGTATGCTTATATATCATGTATAATATATATCTTATAATGAAAATTTTTATTGTATTGGTTATTTTTTTTCTTTGTTATATTATTTAAAAAAGATACACATTGAACAGGTAGTTATATTGTTAAACATTCTGTGCATGCAGAGCCAAGTTTCTATTATGGCGAATCATAATTTAATCAACTTTATTTTCGGACAGCTACCGTTTCGAAGTTGCCCACCGACTTTATCGAGTGAAATCGACTCTCCATTACAAAAGCGATATATGTTCAGTTTTGTATCAGGAAAAATCCGAAATAAGATTAAACGTCGAAATAACGATGAAATCGTCTATCTACTTTTTGAGAAATGTATTCGTAAAATCATTTCAAAAATTTGGTCGCCCGGCAAACTGAATGAGTATACTTCACGGAAGACAAAAGAACTGTATAGATCGCTTAAAAATCGTGACTAAAATCTTGCTCTTTGCGATACATTTATCTCTGAAATTTGCGAGATAATCGTATTTATTCTCAGAAAATCTGCAATCGTATAAGATCTTATAAAAAATAAGTGTTATCTAAAATAATATTTATTTTTATAGCTCATCTTCATTCTTTGTTGAAATAATGTTACTGAAAACACTTTCTTGATTTCTGCGACGAAAAATTTTAAAATTCGTTTATAACTGCAGTTTTTTTTACAACAATTATTAATTATATGATCCATTTTTGGGAACGTATTGTGACCTGCTATATCTAGATTTTAGAATAACATGTAGCTCTAACGTAATTATTAAAACGGTATATTTTTAGCTTTATTAAATTAATAATGTAAAATTATAATCGTACTTTCATATGTAACCAATATTAACTTTAACGATGTCAGTATCAATTTTAATTTCAACATTATGGAAATTTTAAGTAAATCTATAATTAAAATTTGAATAGCTTTCTATATTTAAATGCATCACTGCATAAAAAAAATACGAGATATTATCTAAAAAGAAAGTGAATAAATTTTTAAGTAAGATTACTGTACGATGAGTCGGTCGTTGTTGAATATCATTGTCAAATCTGAAATTTTATTTTCTAAATAAAAATTAATTTTTGATACTAATGTAACGAATAATTATTTCATATTTATCAGGAGGACTTAGTTTTATAAAATTATTTAACTTTTACGAATTACAAAATTATTTAATTTTTACGAATCTTTACGAAGGTAACTTTTACGAAGTACAGATTTATGTATAACTCAATATATTCTTATCGCTTTTAGTAATGAATATTTAATATTTATATTGATCGAATGCAATCGAATTAGCCAATTCGTAATATAACGTTGGTGTCACATGGTCATAAATTCCGACGCAAGCTCATGCGTCGCCACGGCTAACTACTCGTACAACCCCTAATTGCCATTAGTTGGTAGCCACTTCTCCGAAATTGGCTCTTCCATTTCGCTCCGTGCCCTCGTCCTGGCATACACGCACTTGTTCCTGTCTACGAATAGATATGATGATCACGATAATATATAAATTTGCACTTACAGAAAGACTTTCGTTCATTCGTATAATCAACTTTCGCGTCCATTCATCCGATGATTAAGAATCCATTTGAGCTTAATACTATCAGCTTAATACTACGAGCGCAATAATACAATCTAGTGTGGAAATCGCTTTGTCGCGCACACAATGAAGAATCGGTGCAATCTATTTCAAGTAGACGTTTCGCGAGAGATTAGGTTTTAATTAAAACATCGACAGCGCGATTACGTTCGAGAATAGCTTAGTTTTGTTGCAAGGTGGATTTGAAATACGTATGAGGGTCTGATAGAGGTAGCACAGATTGTATTGACGGGAACATCACTCGATACGCCGGGCATCGCGTGTATACGTCGATCGTGATCGCGCCTCACGGTGCCCGAGGAACGAGGAGAAAGGATTGTATCTATTTTCGACGTTCAATTAGAACAAAAGCACGCAAAGTGGTGTGCAATTGCTTGGATGAAAAGCGGTGGTTGATTCCTGCTACGATATCTGTGGAATCAACCCTTCGACATTGTAGTTCTATTGTCATTTGTAATTTAGCGATCGCCGACAGCTTTGACAAATTACTCCACTCTATCAATCGTGTTAGATATCGTGTTCGCACACTTGGCTTTAGTGTTTTTCTGAAGTGGCTTGTTAACTTAGCTCAGAACTCCATTACGATCAAGATTTAACTTGAAAATTCAAGACGAAAGGAATACGTTCAATAAAAGCTGATCCTGAAGCCATAAAAGAAATCTTCAAGATCGTATATATTCTTATGTCTAATAAAATGTTGCATTCGATTCAGCGGGTCAACCTCACAACGTCAATACGACAAAGTACACATATCGTTCTTTTTTTGCACCTAAATAGAGTCCTCGGTTTTATCATTAATCGTGTAATGAGCATTCATCAAGTTTTACGCGCGTATTATCGAGGTGCTGCAGCGGCGCGATGCCATTTACGAATACCGGTGAACAAACGTTCGTGAATTAACGCTCCGGGCCGAGCCTTAATGGTTTCACGCGTGTTTAGCGTGGCGTTATCGTTTGTTCGAATAATTCTCTACCAGTCGACGCCCCTGGCTGGCGCACTTATCAAACCGACGCTCTTCGCACCTTCCCATTTATTTCCAGACGGTTGAACGACCACCTGCTTCATCGCGCGACTCTCGACCGAAATCAATGCCCTCAAGAAACCGTCGGCGAATGAAAAGCGCATGGCCCACGTCGAGCAGAAGAAATCTTTCGGTTTTATCGGGGAACGAGGTCGAGATAACTCCCTGATGAATGACGATGATGTCGCGCGTCGTGGAATCGTGGCCCAGCTGGAGAGACGAGATTATTAATTATTATCAAGCGAACAGTTCCCGAAACGCATAACCGCGCACGAATGAATGTTGCGCGTGCAAATAATGTGCATACTAATGTTTGTGTGCGCCGATGCACGCACGACCGGATACGAATTAGTGCAATTGGCAAGTCTAGCGAGCCGTTTATAACATTGATACCAACTTTAATTCTTAACGTCGCATCGGCACGAATTGCGACCAAACGCTACGTAGAAAGCGCGTCCACTGTTTGTTTCATCATTGCAAAAAATTTATGAACAAAACGCATTTGCATGCTACGTCACAGACACTCCGGACCACACCGAACGCTTTCGTCACGCCAGTCTCGTCACGCATTTCGTGCCCACTGACTTATTTTTCACATTCTCGCCAATCAAATCTTGTTATGCAATTATAGTCGTGTTCCGATATAAACTGTCAATACTAAAAATCTGTGTACATAATGTAAATTATAGATTTTTAATATTGGCAGTGCATATCAGAATAGACTACTACTATAAAATGTCACGACATTATAAAAGCTTTAGTCTGTAATTTATCTTTTATTATGTAATAAAATTTCAAAATCTTTTTGAATTAAAAAGTTATTACAAACTTATATCTTCAGTCTTTAGAATGAGAAACGGAATCTCGTTTCATCAATCTCACTCAATCGAGATAAACTTCGAGGGCGAAAAGTTAAATCTTGATGAAAGGGATAATTTATTGTTCAAAGGCGTTTAATAGCTCATTAAAATTTCAAGATGATTTATGTGGCGGCAATTAAGAATAAATTGATACGCATTCAAACAGGCGGAAACGTGGACACGCATGCTTATTATTATTTGTTCTATCGAGTGGATTCGGCATGCATCGCAATGTACGAATTAATAGGCACCCGTGGGAATATACGAAATTATTCATACAAGAGTATACCCGCGACTAGTTACATATACTGTCTGATTATTTATGTTTGATATAGGATTAGTTGTTCGTGTGAACTATCTGCATAACTATCGCATGCATTTCCTTGAAACAAAAGCAATCGTCAACAGTTAGTTTGTGTAACTTGAAGGAACTATAATAAATAAATTTATGTACACAAATGTACAACATCCATTTTTATATGCAAACTGAAAAATGACGTGTTTGAAATAAAAAAGAATGATGGCTTGAAATAAAAAACTATATATGTTTGTTAGAAACAAGAAATTATGATCACATTGAAAGTGAACATACACAGACTTTTACAACAAAAGTCATATTTTTCAAAGTCATATCTTCGCGTTCAGTGAAACGCAAAATGTAGTTTATACTGTAGATATACTGGTCCACAAAGGATTTCTAATAAAATTAGTACGCGTATAGAATGAAGGAAAGTAGTGTTTTGATTTTGTAAAATTTTTCTCTATACTATTATTAACCGTGCTATTAAATAAAATTAACGTGTGTTGCAATATATATCGCGAATCGCCCGACTAATCCACGCGTCTCTCTTAACGTATACGACGTGAGATTGCCAGAAGTGTAGGCGCACGCAATGTGCGATCGGCGAGATCAATCGGCCCATGAATTAGCGCCTCTTGCAGCTCTGTCAAGCATTAATGCTTTTACGCGTGTTTACCTTAACGTTATCGCCGCCGGTTCGAATAGTTTCTTCCCACCCTTTCGCGGTCCTCCGTTTTCTTCTGTCTGGCATGACGTTACTGGGTCATTACAAGTTGAACCTTCTCCAGCCGCTATTTACGATATCTTAGCGCGTTGCGCGAGTAGGTACCTTCTTACCTTCGCCATACACACGCACCCACCCACGCGCGAGACATCCATACGAAGTAATTAACGCGTCCACAGACGTGTACGGCGCGGTCGTTCTCCGTCACGTCTATCGACCGACGCCGACACAACGCTCGCCCGAACACAGACGCGCTGTCGCACGCCAAGTGCTCACGAGGAAACACGAAATCGAAGCTGCGGACCAGGAGGCACGCGATTCTCTGATCCGTCTTGCGAGAGGCGTTACCGTTATCTCCATCGGCCAATCTCGTCCGGACGACTAATAGGTTCAGTACGTGAATACCTTGGCCCGGCTATAGAACCATGTGAAAAGGCCTCCGATAGGTACATGTACTCTCTGTGACCGTCGAGGCAATTCGCCAATGGTGCGCGATACATGGGAACTGCTAAAATCATGTGAGCACGAAAGCGAAGGAAAATGCCAATTTGCATCGATCTCCATTGACGAATTATTCTCATAAATTTGTTTCTTGGAACAACGTTGGATTCTGTCAATTAATACATTGTTTGATATACTGCTATATACGATCTTTCAAGTCACAAGCTGGCGGAAAAGAGATTATGTACACGACAAACAAGGGTTATCAGAATGAATTATAATCCACAAACTTACATTTGCAACTAGCATTGTATTAACGCATTAAGGGTCAGCGACTTTATTACAAAGATAGATACTTATCGTTTCGTTTAAAAAGAAATAAATGACATTCAGGAAGATATCCCTAGATAGGAAAATACACGAAACGTGGTCAAATATTTTTTCTTTCGTAAAATACGCGCGTCAACTTGTCGGTAATTTCATGTCTACCTCAACGTGCAAATGGAGAACTCTCGTAGCTCGTTATGCACGCGATAATTGCGTACTTACATTAATGATTACATGGAACTACGTATGTGCAGCACTTTACGTCCACTGGGCACGTTTACGTTTAACGGCTGCGCTATATACGTATAGTAAAATATTAGAAAATGTAAACAATAACTTGTTATATTCCGTTACGAAGTTATTATTGAAAGTAAAAACGTAATGCAAAAACGAGTTTTATAATGATACACATTATATATAAACGAGTTCTTTGACGATATGTCATTCCAAGTATCAGTCATATCGTATTAGTCTGTAAAGTGCTTAGTAATAATGCTAACAAGTTTTACAACATTTTTTTATTTTAAGATAATTTTTTTTTTCTTAGGGCAAATTGGATTGGCTATGGCGTCCCTTTGATAGATTGCGATTCCCGTAAAAACATATTTAAGAAACCGCATTGCATGCAACATTATAAAGATTGATAAAGTAGGTCGCGTAAGTAGAACATTTCTCGATCGTCATTCACAGGACGTACATTAAGGTAATCGGAGTTTCGTTTTAAACATCACTAGGAGGGGCCTTCGTTTTTTTTTTGCACGAAACGATCGACGTGCTGACTCAGCGCTAATTCCCGCTTATAGTCTATTACTCGATGGAAAGCATTCGACGCTCTTCTATAATTTATGTAAGACACTATTTGAGATACGCAATCACCAACTTTGTAATGCTGGGTCTAAATTATGCTGAATGGATATTTTTATCCAGTGCATTCATTAAGTCATTTAGTAGATGTCACTATGAAAAGCAAATGTCGTACGTTGTCATAACATTACAAATTAGAATTACATTATTACGACAACATAATAATAAATAAATTTAATGTCATGCGCAATTGGCTCGTAACGAACTCAAGAAAATGAAAAATAAAACAAACAAGTAACACACAGTCATAATACAATTTCGTCAAATAGCACAAATAATTATGGATAGAACATAACAGGATCGTCAAATGACTTACGATTCATTTCGAGGACGAGTAATCTGGTTTGTGGTGGCACCAAGTTCGTATTGCTGGCCTGACATATCAGCCTCGCCTGGAGGTGTTGTCGCCCAATTTTCGGATACGCCAAGTGGTTAACCGTTAACCTGCCCTGGGTATCATAGTGATAGGACTCGTCTATCACGGTATTGTCGAGATACCACGTCAGCTTTGGGGGCGGCTTGCCACCACGAACCTCGCAAATCAAGTTCACGTCGCTCCCCTCGTTGTACCGCTCCTCGAGGCCCCAAATAGCTTTCGTCGCCCCATCCAATATTATAGGCTTCGATGGAGGCACTGTGCGAACAGCATGCGTCGTTAAAATTCAACGTGAATACTAATTGATCGTTCGTCTGGCAAAATGACAGTTAGCGCGAGAGATGCGTATGCGGTCGAATGCGATGGAATCCGACAGAATTTTGGCGTTGTAGCAGAATTAACTGTTATAATGGCCGCAAAACAGGTAGTTACGAAGTATATTACACAGCCGCAGCTCCTAGTTTGCGAAGCAAGCCGCGGCTTACACTGAGATTAATTTATGCGCCGGGAAGTGGTGAGTTCGTAAGTCAACGCTTACGATGAAATGTATCGAGCATAAATGTATATCTAAATCAAATGCACGTAAATTCTACGTATCGTGTAATGAACTGAATGGTTATATTGAACGTTAAATTATACATCGTAAAAGCGGCCTCGAGATCGCTTCTTGCTTCGATACTTGACGCGACCTCCATTACCGCTCTGATCAAAAGGACTGACTTTAATTGTTGCGTGATCACTGGTTGATTGAGTTTCACCGGGATACAATGCTCTCACCTATAACGGTTAAGTTCATCCTTTGTTTCCGTGTCGGCGAGTTTCTGAAGTCCACCCGGCACCGATAGATCCCCTCATCAGTGCTCTCTAGCCGATCAATGCTGAGGTGAGCTGGATTCGTCGCCGTAACGAAAAAAGCTCTTGGTCCCAATGCCGAGGGCGACGACCAAAGACGGGCGTTGCTGTATTGCCGACGGCCGCGAACGTCGAAGCTAAAATAATCGATTAGCTTTTGTAGTAATTCAGCCATAATAATTCCATCATTTTATAATTGTTATGAGATACGTTGTGAGTGTATTACCGATACTATATTAATTATTGATGCTTCACGTTATATGAAGTTTCAGTATTTTTCGCTAATAGGCACAGAATGCTAGAATGATCGAATATGCATCGTAATAAGAGTCAGTTTATCGCTGGTAATTACCGTTTTGCTTGTTATTCATGTATCAAAAACTGTACCAATTTAATTACATAATTTGCGATGTAATTGCAGCATATCAAGCAATTGAGATAACGTACTGGCGTCGTTATTAAAAGCTTGTCGTGATTGAATTAATTACATGGTAAATAATGAATATATATATTCTGGATACTTGTGATCGAATATACATAATAATACATAATAATATTCGCTTCAAGATTTCTCATCAATTATAAAATTTGATATCTTTGATTCCATTAAATATCTCGAATTACCTCTAAATGGAATATTTAAAAAATTATGATCAGCACAATTCACACTACTGTAATTTTATACCTTATATTAAATACTTATGATAAATACTTATGATAAAATCTAATATCAAATTGCTACGTCGTTTTTTTTATCTCATTACATGAACAAAAACTTTAGAAACAGACGGAAAAATTAACGAACCTAGCTAGTAGACTGAAAGATTAAATTCGAAACATTATTCTCATCTTTCGTACTCCATGTCGAGACTCATGCCTGCACGTGGCCTTTCCAATGCACGGCAGCTTCGCTGAAGAATCGTTCGTGGAACTACTATTCGAGACTGATGATTTGACAGAGGCACGTCTATATACGGAGTCGCATGGGAGTCGTTCTCAGTGCGTGATTGCATATTAAGCATCCGCGGTGAGCCAGAACAGGAGCAAAGAGAGATAGATTAGAGGAACAGTCCAGGGATATATAAGAGAGCGAGCACGAGACAGAAAGAAGAGAGGTAACTCAAGAGGGAGAATGCCGGGCATAGAACCCTTCACGGCTCCTCGCGAGCGACTAAAAGTTAAATTGCGTTCCGCGACTGCATGGGAGTTCGGATTTTCGCTCGTGACTGAGTAGTCCCAAAGCTATCCCGCCCTCACGCTTGCTTCCACGGCATTGACGTTGAAATACGATTTAATTCTTCCACTTCGCACTTCCAGTGGACGAGGAGGCACTTCCGTGACACACCACCAATGTTGCCCACCCGCCTCGTTGTCGTAGACAGGGTTGTGAAAGAAGGGCAGACTTCGAAGAGAGGTCGAGCACACGTTCCACGAGCCGTCGCCCAGCACGAGAACGGCTCGCAGATATAACACGTTCGACCGACTTTTCTCGCGCGCGATAATTCCTGAAAGTGATTTTCCCATATCGGTCCTCTGACTTCGATCCTAGCATTCATCGACAGCGAAACGACTCTCAAGATCGATCGATCGCCTGTCTACTACTCACTCGATTCGTCGATCACGACCTGAGAGGGTGATTCGTCGACATTTTCTGGAACGGCATCGCCTACAGCCGTTTCTTCGTTATCTCGGGAGATTACAGAGCGTAGATGAACTTGTGTTGCTCTTTTTATAACTCGCGAAATCTATTTGTGAAATAGCGTACTGAACTGTATGTCGTACTGAAATGTTGAGTGAAATAGACGAGTACGATTTGCAGATAAATTTGATAAGACACATTTGTAGATATGTAAAAATTTAATTTTGTTTATTTTTGTTCTCGTATTTTATATCATCATTTTATATAATTTGATAAAAATAATATAAATTTCGGCTTATTACGACAATATCTTAAACAATATTTGAGAGCTCTGCAAGCAAACGCATCTCTTGTCGTATTTCACACATATGTATTATATAATCGTTAAAGAATCGATCACTTTCAAGTTCTCACGCGGAAAGAAATTCACTAGGTCTCTTCGATAGGTCTAAGTGTCTTGAAACTTTCCTAAGAGAAAACGTGAAATGGAATTGAGTGGATTCGATTTTGCGAAGTGTTATCTATTAAGATAAAATACGAAGACCGCTCGAGAGATTGTAAATATTACCGAGCATTTTGTTCGAGACGCTGGCTGTTCAATATTACAGTAATATTGAAACTCAAAAATCTAGATCTACGATCACGAATAAATATTCATATCATGAAGAATGTAGTCAATCGTTTAAGGTCTCTCTGCTCTTCCATTTTCTAAGTAAATGGAAAAAACTAGATGAATTCTCTCCGTCTATCTACCGATAGATAGGCGAGGAAAGATTCAATCATCTTCAAGGATTATGAAAGTTTTGTTAAATCAATAAAATTAACTAAAGAGAAAGGAAAAAATTGCTTCTTTTTCTTGAATAGTTATAAAGTTATAATGCGAAGAAATCTTGATGAGACGACATGCATGTCACACGAATTACTCCTATCACGAACGAAACATCAAATACATATGTAAGGCGAATACTTCGAAGGAGCTATGCGCGATCATGCTCACGTAACTTCGCAGTTTCCTTTCCTTAACTGTCTAGTGTACATACGATAAGAGGGCACGATGTCACACAATAAATATTTTACTGCAAGAGATCCCATGAAGAAGAGTACATTGGCGAGGCCAAGGGAGAGACGGTTTTAGTATGACGACCGCCTTTAAATTTAAAGTTCTTCGTCGGCGAGGATTAAACTGACTTTACAACAAGCGACGACTTGCACTCCCCTTCGCATTAAACGCCACCGTCGGCATCCCCGGCGTCGCTTCGCATACGCTTTCCGTCGCTCTTCTACCACGAAACCATCGCCAACACCCACGCACATATCTTATACCTTATTACATTTCTTAAATATGACTCACCGGATACTAACGTCAGTCCCCTTTCAGCCGCGGCAACTCTTATCCTACGACTGCGGCATGGCGATGCGCCGACCGCCATTCTATATGCAAAATTTCACGGGCCGTGGGAGCGAAACGGCAACTCGAGTACCGAATGAACTTCGCTGTGGAAAATAACGCGAGGAATTTCCAGACTTGAGCTCATTTCTTTTTGATTTCTACGAGAAAGTGCGTTTTATAGACGATATGAATGACTCTCACATTCGAGAAGTTTTTCTCAGCATTTCGCTCCGAATTGAAATCGTACAGTGAAGATTAAAAGACTTTTTGTACGAAAACAATTTTTTTCTAACAGAAAATACGATAATTTAAGAACTTTGAAATCTTTAAACAATCAGTTTTTAATTAATGATAGATGTCCGAAATCTTACCTGTAAATCGGTTCATCTCTGCCTTCTTTGTACCAAAGCACCATGCTGATTTCATCGTTATTGATGGAACGAATGTCACAAGGGAGCTGCACTTTGTTTCCGATTACACCGTCAATGGCAACAATTGGTACTGCAACAAGAAAAAGATAAATGTGAAATAAATTTACTTTTTCTTTTAAATAAGTGTAATCTTTTTTAATTGCTTTGAATGTATAGTTGTCATTCTAATTTGATTGATAAATTATACTTACAACTATAATTAAAAGTGTAAATTTATTAATTAAGGCTACGCAATTCAATGAGAAATTGTATATTTGATATTCGATATATCAATAAAAATATTATAAATTCTACGGTTATTCATTTTTTCTTATTAAAGAGTAGCTATATTTAATCCATAAGAACGCGAAAGCTAACTGTAATCGACCTTTAAGCTTTTAACAAGGTATCTATGTATAGCACGAAATATTTCTACGGTAAGTAAAACGCTGATATAATGTGGTTTTCATAGACAAGAAAACATCAGGATTAGATCTCATTACATGAGAATTTAGTGGTGATGTACATCCTGACGGTTAAAGGGGAGCTCATACCCGAGTTTAACTCCCATCATTCTCGTCTATGATAGGATAGGCAGTGGTTAACGGTGATTTGATGTCGCTATGGTTTTGTCTGCTCGATTAGATTTACATGTAGATGGAGATATCGCGTTTTAATGAGCTGGCTCCTCTCTATTTTCCCTCTCTTTCTCTGTCCCCTGACAATGATGCTATTTTTTCGCGAGTTCCCTGACGTCTTATCGGACTTTTCGATCGCTTCTCGAGAAGAAGCATCGTGCCTCAGGAGCGATCGTTCCCAGGGATCCCATCGATCACCACACTAGTATTTCGTCGCTCGACGTCTGATCGCAATAGGGTCGGTCAATCTCAAAGTTCACGGATTTCCGCCTTAAACTATAAAACGCTGACACTTCTATAGGTAAAAAGAGGATGAGGGAATGTCCGATGATGACATGTTGAAAGGGTGCACGCGCGCAGGCCTATGTCTTCACTTCTAAATCCGCAAAGATATTGCATAAACGTGCGAAGTATTTGCTAAAGGATTCAGAGCAATCGTGCTGAATACTCTGCATCTGAAATTAGAATACTAGCCGACTTTCAGCGGGTTGATATGAGAAACGCGATAAGCAAACATACGTTGAGCATAGTCGCCCTTCTGCTCGCGTTTATCCTAACTTGTAGTATCGTAAATTACCTGCTATTGCATACATTAGCAAACAGCAATGTTTCTTAATCCCATTGTTATATATGTTAATGTGTTAATATATCAACATGTATATATGTATACGTATTAGTCTCGTTAAATAAATACCAAATAAAAATATTTTTTAATTTTTCCTAATTTCTTGCCAATTTTTACTTATTTCATATTTCAACATTATAAATAATAACGAAAAGAACAATTTTGATGATGATTTGAAAGATCTAAAATTTCGCTGAATACAAATCTGAAAATAATTTTGTTGGGCCATTAAAATAATTATGTTGGAAACTAAAAAATGATAAGCAATGTAGCAAAAAATTTTGATATTCTACGAACCAATTTGAATTTCCAATAAAATTATTTTTAAATCTGTATCCAGCAAAGTTTTAGATTTTTCAATAAAATTTTCTTTTCATATTTGTACAAAGAGAGAAAGAGAGAAAGATGTTAATTTAAATTATTATTTCATCTCTCATCTCTCGATTATCAACGTACTTAATATAATATAATATGACCTAAATGTATGCATGAACAAAATGACATTTATAAGTTATATGCAATTTCTTTACTTATTACAGAATTATGATGTCTTCTCATTACGGGAAACGATTCAACGGATCGTAAAACGCGGAAACATTCTTCCGATCTCATTTAATCCTAGGAGAAGTTTCGAAGCGGTCCGGAAGGAAACTCGAGGAAGCTTCAGGCAAACTTGGAACGTCCGGAGGCGTGACAAGCGTCGCACGCGAAACAATTTCATTTATCACAAGAAAAATAGCGGTTTAACTCTACGAGTGGGCGTATCATACATTTTCCGCGAGTTCGAGGGAATGAGAGACAAAGGGCGAACAAGGCGGTAGAAAATGGAAGACACCGAGGGCAGGTCGTTTCTTCTTTGTCGTCATAACCAACGATGAGGAGGGCACGCAAGTGTATTAGCGTGGATGACATCCTCAACGCTATAAGTCATCACAGTACAGTTTATTGTGCTCTCTGGCAGCACTTAAAGAAAATACAGGACGACGATTGTCGGTGTGTCAATGCCTCAGGCCGTCTCGCAACGGAATGGAACATGCGATTCCAAATAACTAGAACGTGCGTTGTTGACGCTAAAAATTTACATCGCGGATGAGACTACCGATACGGCATCACGAAAGCCACCGACGGGAAAATTATTACCAGACTAATTGGTAGACCCATGGCGGAAATTGCCTGTAGCGCGGATAACCGTGGTACTGCCGCATTAAAGTTCGCAATGCCGTCACTCGCTGAAATACGCGATTGCCTCGTAAAGATAATTCTGAATGTTTTCCCGGCGTCGATCGATGAACTGCGCTCGTTGAATCCACGTAATGTCTATTTTTCGCGGAAGAACGTAAACGAATCTATCGACACACGATTTCATACTCGTTGTATGATCATTATTATCAGTAACGTGTACCCTTCTCATTTTGATGCATATTTAACGACTGCTCCATCATGATGGAGCATCGGCGTTTCTTACTCCGTGTTGCTTACACGAATCGAGTCGTGACATGTATCCACAGTGATGATAAATTCTAAACGCCTACGTCGTTCCCGGTAGGGATCGTTAGGGAAGAAGTTGTAGGGTTAATAAATAATCTTTCTACGTGGAAAACGAATCCATCAACTTTTACTGTTACTCTCGTTAACTACGCGATTGGAGGCAACATCAAACGTACGCAAGCATACGCCCTGGGTCTAGTCTTCCTTTACCGAGCGGGAAAACCATAAATAAGTAATCTTCCCGTTTCCACGAATGCGCAGGAGGGCTCTGAATCTCGAAGATGATCGCCTTGGGCGAACGTGCAGGATGCTACGTTTATTTTCTTTTTTATTGACAACATAAATTTAACGGATTTTATTTTTTTCTCTGCTCTTATCTCTATTTTTCTTCTTCGCGGTTCCGTTCCGTACACAGCTGTTTTTTACTCAACTGATTGCTGCCAGTCAATACGTTATCAAACGATGAGAGATTCTGAAAAACTATGTGTTCAAACGCTTATACTATAAATGTGAAAAATAGTGGAAAATGCAGTAAGTATAATATCGATAAGATTATACATATAACAATATATACATAATATTTTGATACGTATTCAATAATAATCTTGAAAAATTTCAAATATAATGATTGAATATAATAATTGATACGTACAAATTATCATTAAAAGAAGATTTGATTTCTCATTGTATCTCAGGTATATAAAAATTTATCCGTAAAATTTAATATTCTTTATATTCAACCTAAAAGATAACGACAATAGCTCGTATCAAATAACGAAATTATTAAAAATTTAAGACAATTAGCCAACTAAATAAATTAGCTAATCGCATGTGAGATGTTTGTTGTTTCTTCTTTTTGTTCAGTGTTATTAATCAGATGATAAAATAAATGTTATCATAACTGTGAGTTTTAAAATTACAGTTCCACACGATTATTGCAGAAATAGAAATAATGCCCGGGGCAACTTTCTGGAATCAGGTGAAGTAATCTTTCAAACGATTTAACGTTAAACGCGTATTACGTGAATTGCTCATTGGTATAATGGATGAAGGGTAATTCTATGATATATAATTCTCTGACTTCATGAGGAAAAAAGTAACGTGCGTACAAGAGTCAACATTTGTGAAATGATAAAATAGTTTCTTCGTCTGTATTTTCAAGGCGTACAAAGTAGTATACGGGCATAATTTACATAAGCATTTACATTGGACGAATGATTTAATGGACAAGTTTGATTATACATTAAACATGCTCATATTTTCAACAATAATAGATCCTAAACGTGGAGCTAAATTGATATATAGACGATGATGAAAGGAACTGTGATATATGTGAGCTGTGTGGCATGCATAGAAAATACATTTAAGATGTTCGATGAAGCGTAGACGTCGAAATCATTTGTCATATTCGTAAGTAGCATGTAGATAGGTGCTCTAATTTACATCAAAACGTGATCGGTCATATATTTCGGTAGCGAGAGTATTTCTATAGATATCGCTTAATTATTTCCTTGATAATAGAATCATAGATGACGCGTAGAAAGCATTTGAATACTTCAATAAGTTCGTTTCTGTCAAGTTCCCTGTTGGATTATCAAGAAAACTGAACATGACAAAACTTTGTAAGTTATACATCACAATAAAAAAAATCCTCTAATCAACACTTCAGCGAAGTTTGGAAACAAAAGCAGTCGTTATTGCAACACAGACGGGAGGATAAAGTATTCGCTGAAGGAGAATAATTCATAATTTTATATAATTCCGCGCTGCAAATAGATTATATGCAAAGCTTCGATTTTTAAAGTAGACTACTTACTTCGGTTGAAGTACGTGAAGCAGGTTACCGTGTACCTACGATGAAAAAATGCTATTCAAGCCGGCAGGGCGATAAGGTAAGAATCGATAGAGTTAGCCACTTGTCTAATAGACTTAGATAAATCATCATGTCCTCGAAAGATAATCAAAGACTATTCACCGACAAGCAATACAGTCAGGTTGGCGTCGAACAAAGTTTATCAATCGCGTGTTTAATCTCTACTAATTACCATAGCCATTACGCCGTGACTTTTGTTAACTACAACTTTTACCACCTGACTACAACAGGTCAGAAAAAATTATTACACACCTAACATCAATCTATTTCAACTGTTTCATTCTAACAGCTTTATTCACAATTTCATAAAATTGTCATTGTAAATAGCTATTACATTTGCAAGTGATTTTAACGTGAAACAAAAATAACAATTTAATTTTTGTTTAAATCATAATAAAAATCTATAAGGATTTTTATTACGTTAATTTTTATTTGTAATTATAAGTTTGTAATTAATTTATAATTTG